CCACTTTTGCCACTCTTATTTAACATAGTACTGGAATTAGCCACAGCAATCAGACAGGAAGAAAAAATAAAAGGGATCCAAATTGGAAAGGAGGGAGTAAAACTGTCATTATTCACAGATGACATGATACTATATGCAGAAAACTCCAAATACTCCATAAAAAATTTACTAGACTTAATAAATGAATTTGGCAAAGTAGCAGGATACAAGATTAACGTCAAGAACTTAATGGCATTCTTATTCACCAATGATAAACTCACTGAAAGAGAAACTGAAAAAATAATCCCATTTACTATCGTGGCAAAAAAATTAAGATACCTAGGAATAAACTTAACCAAAGTAATAAAGGACCTAGTAACAGAAAACTACTGGTCATTGAAAAAAGAAATAAAGAAAGATATAAAAAAGTGGAAGCACATAACTTGTTCATGGATTGGAAGAATTAATATCATTAAAATGTCCATACTACCCAAAGCAATCTATAGATTCAATGCAATCCCCATCAAAATACCAACGACATATTTCACAGCACTAGAACAAATACTTCAAAAGTTCATATGGAACCAAAAAAGACCTCGAATAGCCACAGCAATCTTGAAAAAGAAGGACAAAGTAGGAGGTATCATATTACCAGATTTCAGTTTATACTACAAACCACTGTAATCAAAAGAGCCCGGCCTTCCGGTCAAAATGGAGGCGTAGGTAAACACGTATCGCGTTCTCCCACAACCACATCAAAGTTACAACTAAACTAGAGAACAACCATCATTCAAAACCGCCTGAAATCGAGCTGAATGGAAGTCCTACAACTACGGAATTAAAGAAGCTGCATCGAGACTGCTAGGAGGGGCAGCGCGATGGGATGGTCCCACACCCATGTGTGGCGGATAAAAATCAGGAGGCTACCTCGGCTGGGAAGATCCTCTCTTAAGACTGAGGGGTCCCTGTCCCACACCAGATGCCCTGCTCAGGGTTCCAGTGCCAGGAAGAGAAGTCCCCATAACTTCTGGCTGGAAAAACCAGCGGGAACTGAGGCTCAGGGAAGCTGACGTGGCTGGAGCCCGGGGCATCTCCTCTTAAAGGGCCCACGCACAGACTATCGAACTCACTCCCTCTAAGCTTGGAGGGGAGGCAGCTCAAGGGGCGCCAGAGACTTACAGGAAAGAACTGAGCTGTTTGGTACTGGAGCGAGAGCTGGAGAGGGGGCTTTCTCCGGGACAAACGTGCTGTCAAAAGCCTTTGTTCCTTTGGTGAGCCCTTCCCTGGGGCGGCAGACAGCGGCCATATCTGGGACTCCAGCAACCTGGCTAAAACTGGTAGCTCCACCCTGGTGATTCCCTGAGGCCCTGCCCCACCCAACTTTCAGGCCCACCCAAGCTGTTGGCACTTGCTTCACCATAAGATTGGCCTGACTTGGATCCTTCTTCAAGTGTTCCTAAATTCTTTCAAACAAGCAGCATCTGGTCTCAGCTAGCCCCATACCTCTCATTAAGTAATACACAGAAACAAACACAGAGAGGCAGCCAAAATGAGGAGACAAAGAAACAGGTCCCAAATGAAAGAACAGAACAAAACCCCAAGAAAAGAACTAAGCAAAATGGAGATAAGCAACCTAACAGATGCTGAGTTCAAAATACTGCTTATAAGGATGCTCAGTGAACTTAGTGAGGGCCTCAAGAGCATAAAAAAGGACCAGTCAGAAATGATGGATGCAAATTTAGAAACGAAGGAGGCTTTAACTGAAATAAAGAATAATTTACAAAGATTCAATAGTAGAGTACGTAAATCCAAGAAGCAAACCATTTATTTGGAATATAAGGAAGCAAAAAACGCCCAATCAGAACAGCAAAAAGAAAAAGGAATCCAAAAAAATGAGGATAGTGTAAGGAGCCTCTGGGACAACTTCAAGCGTGCCAACATTCACATCTTAGGGGTGCCGGAAGGATAAGAGAGAGAACAAGAAATCGAAAACCTGTTTGAAACAATAATGGCAGAAAACTTTCCTAACTTGGTGAATGAAAGAGACATACAAGTCCAGGAAGCACAGAGAGTCCCAAACAAGATGAACCCCAAGAGGCCCACACCAAGACACATCATCATCAAAATGCAAAAGGTTCAAGGCAAAGAGAGAATCTTAAAAGCAGCAAGAGAAAAGCAGCTAGTTACCTACAAGGGAGTTCCCATTAGGCTGTCAGCTGATTTCTCAAAAGAAACTTTGCAGGCCAGAAGGGAGTGGCAAGAAATATTCAGAGTGATGGAAAGCAAGAACCTACAACCAAGATTACTCTATCCTGTAAAGCTGTCATTTAGAATCGATGGCCATATAAAGACTTTCCCAGACAAGAAAAAGTTAAAGGAGTTCATCACCACCAAACCGTTATTATATGAAATGATGAAGGGTCTTTTTGAAGAAAAAGATAAAATATATGAACAAACCAAATGGCAATGAATACATATCTATCGACAATGGAATTTACAAACAAAATAAACCGGCAGAACAGAAACATTCTCATAGATACAGAGAACATTTTGTTGGTTGCCAGATGGGAGGGAGGTTGAGGGAGTGGGCGAAAAAGATGAAAGGATTAAGAAGTACAAATTCATTGCTAGAATGACAAACCTTAAAGGGAAAGGGGTGTGGGGGGGGTAAAAAGAATTAAACCAAAGAACTTATATGCATAACCAATGGACACAGACAATAGTATGGGAAAAGGTGGGAGGGGGGCGGAACAGAGGAGAAGGGGGTCAATGGGGGAAAAATGAGGAACATCTATAATACATACAACAATAAAGATTAAAAAACAAAACAACACAAAACAAAAAAACAGCCCGATACTGGCACAAAAACAGGCACATAGATCAATGGAACAGAATAGAGAACCCAGAAATGGATCCAAAACAATATGCTCAATTAATATTTGACAAAGGTGTCAAGAACATACAGTGGATTAAAGACAGCCTCTTTAATAAATGGTGTTGGGAAAATTGGACAGCTACATTAAAAAAAAAATGACTAGACCACCAACTTACACCATACACAAGAATAAACTCAAAAAGACTTAAATGTGGCTCATGAAACCATAAAAATCCTAGAAGAAAATGTAGGCAACAACATTTCAGACTTCATACGCAGCAGAATTTTCACTGATACATAACCTAAGGCAACGGAAACAAAGGAGAAAATGAACACATAAGACTACATCAAACTAAAAAGCTTCTGCACAGCAAAAGAAACAGTCACCAAAATGGAAAGGTAACCCACTGTATGGGAGAGCATAATTGCCAATGATACATCAGATAAGGGGTTAATTTCCAATATATAGAGAGTACTCATACATTTCAACAAAAGGAAGACAAAGAACTCAATTAAAAAATGGGCAGAGGTACTAAATAGACACCTCTCCAAACAGGACATACAAATGTTAAGAGACATATGAAGAAATGCACAACATCACTAACCATCAGAGAGATGCAAATTAAAACAACAATGAGGTATCACCTCACACCTGTCAGAATGGCCGCCATCAACATATCATCAAACAAGTGTTGGCGAGGGTGTGGTGAAAAGGGGACTCTAGTACACTGCTGGTGGGAATGCAGACTGGTGCAGCCACTAAGGAAAACAATATGGTGTTACCTCAAAAAATTAAAAATTGATCTGCCATTTTACCCAGTGATCCCACTTCTCGGAGTATATTCTAAGAAGCCTGAAACATCAAAAGAAACCATGTACGTACCCCATGTTCACAGCAGCACTATTTACAATAGCTAAGATCTGGAAATAGCCCAAGTGTCCATCAGTAGACGAATGGATAAAAAACCTGTGGTACATATACACAATGGAGTACTATGCAGCTATAAGAAAGAAAGATCTCTTATCCTTTGAGACAACATGGAGGGACCTGAAAAGTATTATCCTAAGTGAAAAAAGCCAAGCAGAAAAAGACAAATACCACATGAGCTCACTTATTTGTGGCATATAATGAACATAACAATCTGAGGAATAGGGTAGACCCAGAAACATAGAAGTAGGGTACAGACTGACAACCCTCAGAAGAGCAGGTGGTGGGGGGAGGGAAGAGATAAACCACAGAACTTATATGCACGTACCCATAACCAATGGTCATGGACAACAAAGCCGGGGATGGGGTGGGGGGTATGGGGAGAAGGGTGTAAATGGGGTAAAAAAGGAGAAACATCTGTAACAAAAATAAAATAAAAATAAAAAATAAAAAGATGTCACCAGTTTGATTCCTAGTCAAGGCACATGCCTAGGTTGTGGGCCAAATCCCCAGTTGGGGCATTGAGGAGGTGGCCAATCAGTGTTCTCTCTTATCTATGTTTCCATCTCTCCCTACTTCTCCCTTCCCCTTCTCTAAAATCAGTAAAGAAAAAATAATTTTAAAAAGAAGTAATTTAGCCAGGCCAGTGTGGGTCAGTGGATTGAGCATTATCTCAGTGGACTGAGAGATCCTGGTTCAATTCCCAGTCAGGGCACATGCCCCAGTTGTGGGCTTGATCCCTGGTAGATGACGTGCAGGAGGCAGCCAATCGATATTTCTCTCCCCCCCCCCCTTCCCCTCTCTCTCCTCCTTCCTCTCTTTCTCTAAAAAATCAATAAAAACATACTAAAAAAAAAGAAAGTAATCTATACATAGCTTATTATAAGCAGAGACTATACATCTGAAAACAACTGAACTTTATCTGCATCTCAAGACATTGCCCTCAAGAGAAAATAAAGTGTGACAACAATATATTGGGGTAAAACAAATCTTATTTTCCAAAGAAGGTAATTTTTTTTTTCAATAGATGAATTTGGAATTAATCCAAACCTACAGAATCTAATCTTTAATATTAATTTTTGAAGAATTAAGACTCCTAACACTTTAAGCCAAAGATTATCAGTGACTAGGCTAGTCTCATCAATGCCCAGGTAAGAGATCCAAATTCTACAACCCTGTTTCACATTTTCTCTTTTCATTTCTAGATTTCTTTTATACCTTGGACAAGTCAGTTCTTTCATGACCAAACAACTTTGCTTTGATCTCTTCTACTTTTCTCCTGTCATCTTCATTTAATTCCGAAATGGAGTAGCCACTCTCACGAGCCATATTAAACTTCAGATTCCAGGCTGGAGAGAAAGCATAAAAACATAATACAATGCAAAAGTGATTAATTTATCAATGACTATCAGAGCACAGAAGATCATCATTACATCTCATTTAATGCCTACCACACACTTAGCAAAGTGTGTCCTCTAAATTATATGACAAACTATTAGATGTTCTTGAGAGAGATCATTTCATTGAAGAGTTGATTTTTTAAAACCACATTCTACTGATTTTTCTCCAAAGAGGACACTTTAAATATGGTATTCAATCATTTTTATCTTAATCCTCCTTTGCCTTCCCCGTTAGTTCCTGGTACAGTTACTGCCACTTCCACAAGAGCTAATATTTTTAAATAAATAAAACTTGGGAGGATTTTGTGAATCAAAATATGCTTAAATGATAAAAGGAATGATTTAGGCAGTTAATCTCAAGGAAAGATTCCCAAGTAGGTCTGGACTGCTTATATCAATTGCCCTTCAAAATATATTCCCCACACTGTCCTAGAGATTTTTTTCTTTTTTAAAGGAATTCTACTATTAGAGATTAAAAAGATTAATACATATTTTCTTTCAAACCTTTAACCCAAGTTTTAGTGTGAAATAGCTTGATTAGTTTTTTCTAATGTCTACCTAAGATCTTCTTCAAGAATTTTATTAGCAAAGGGGATGAGAACGTATGTGTAGTTGCAAACCGCTTTTTTTACCCCCTGCCTCCAAAATAAGGATACCATAATGGGAGGATTAAGGAAACATGAGAGCTTTGGGAGTTTGGTAACTCAAGCTATCTCCTTACTCTCCTTCAGATATCAGAACTTTTCCTAAAACCCTAAACTCAGACTAGCATTATTAATACTGTGATTTAGCTACATTATTGGTTAAATGGGCTTATTTAGGATTGCCAGTAGAAAATGTAATCATCCTAACAGTTCTACAAGAAAACAAATTTAGAACACCAAACACTTAAGTTTCAATAAATTAAGCTTCATTTGCCTTTATAACAAATTATCCTACCTCGTGCGCGTACCCGACATTCCTCTTCCTCTGCATTTCTGAGTATTTGTTTAGCATGATTCAATGAGGATTCACATTTCAGAAGGTTTTTCACATGTGCAGCCAGTGAATCTACACTACTACCACATCCATCATCACTCTCTGACACACCCTCTTCCTCTCTGCTATCTGTCATGCTTGTTTTCGGTGAAGTATATGGAAATAAGTTTAGAAAAACATCAGAAACTGACTCTACGGAATTACTTTCCCATGAGCAGGAACTTACATCACTACTTGAATCACTTTTTATGATAGTCATCATAGGGATAAGAATTTTATCCCCAAGGGTTCCACTATACCCTTCAGGTTCAGATCTCATTACCGATCTGGCTGCTTTATATTGCCTAAGGGTTTCATCTAATGCCGCTCTGGCGTTGCTTTCTGCTTCCCGTAGAGGACTTCTAACTGTAGTTGAACTAATAAACTCCCAATTTTCAATGCCTCTCTGGCATTTCAGATTCGTCTGTGTGCTAATATCCTTCTGTATGTACTTGTTGCTTGGGTTCTCCTCTGTGAATGGCTGTCTCTGAGGCAAATCAACATTAGATTCATCAGTCGTAGGGGGTTCTTTGAAGCAAACCACCTTCTTAGATTGAATAAATGAAATATCACTAACATCTCTGAAAGGTACAAGGGGTGCAGGAAAATTGCATCGTTTCAATGCTATATTTTCTGCCTCCATTAAAAGTGCCTGGATCTCTTTAAGAGTTTTAGAACCATTATCTGTATCCTGGATTCCTTCAGAGCTGACATCTTCAAAACCTGAAGGTTGTGGTTTATGTATTACAACTCTACCAGGAGCTTGAGAATTTAAGGGCCTATTGTTTGAGATAATACTAGAGTTAGAAGAATCCAAATTATCTATTAGCCTTTGGGCATGGTCTGAAACAAGTTTGTGCTTCTCACTATGTGAGTAAATACCAGGGTGAACTGTTGATAACCCAGTAATCTGATCAGCTTGCCCAAAACCATTTGAGAACTTCAGGGCATCCTGAGTTAGACGTCTATCTGGCAAATCCTGTTGATAGAATTTATTTGGTTTCTCTCGGTATGAAAAAAAACTAGAAGGAGCTGTTGGCAACACAGTTTTCTGGTCATCTGGTTCAGGAATTGTTGATACCATCAGTACATTTTCAGTTAGATGTTTGTCTGGCAATTCCTGTGGATAGAAAATATTAGATTTCTCTCTGTGTGAATAGGAACTAGAAAGAGGTATTGGTATCCCAGAATTCACGTCAGTTGGTTCAGAGACAGATGAAATCTTTACAATATCTTCACTATGATGTCTACCTGGCAAATGCTGTTTAAAGAAAATACTGGGCTTTACTCTCTGAGAATAAGAATTACGAAAAACTGTCAATAATGGAGTCTGCTGGTCGGACGGTCCAATCACAGTTAAATTCTTGGGCTTCTCTCTATGTGAGTAGGAAATAAGGGGAGCTGTTGGTAACCCAGTCTTCTGGTCATCTGGTAAAACCATAGTTAAAATTTTGGGTTTCTCTTTATGTGAGTAAGAACTAGAAGGTGCTGTTGGTACCTCAGTCTTCTGGTCAGCTGGCCCAGGAAGAGCAGAAACTTTTAAAGCTTCTCCAGTAGTATCTGGCAACTCCTGCTGGTAAAAAATACTGCCCTTTTCTCTATGTGAGTAGGAGCCTGAGGGGATTCTTTGTATCCCAGTTTTCTGGTCAGTTGGTCCAGGAACAGCTGAAACTTCCAAAGTTTTTTCAGTAATATCTGGCAACTCCTTCTGGTAAGAAAAGATGGGGCCCTCTCTATGTGAATAGGAAGAGGGCACACTTCGTATTCCAGTCTTCTGGTCAACTGGTCCAGGAACTGCTAAAAGTTTTGAAGCATCTTCATTATGATCTGGCAACTCTTGCTGGTAAGAAATGATGGGCTTCTCTCCAGGAGAGTAAGAAGTAGAGGTTACTACTGGTATCCCAGTGTTCTGGTCAGCTGGTCCAGAAACCCCTAAAACTTTTAAAGCCTCTTTAGTAAGATCTTGCTGGTAAGAAATGATAGGCTTCTCTCTATATGAATAGGAACCTGATAGTACTGTAGATATCTCAGTCTTCTGGTCAGCTGTTCCAGGAACATCTGAAACTTTCAGAGCCTCTTCCGATAGATGACCACTTGGCGACTCTTCTTGGTAAGAAATAATAGGCTTTTCTCTATGTGAATAAGAAGTAGGGATTACTGTTGATTTTCTGGTGTTCTGGTCACCTGGTTCAGGAACAGTTGAAACTTTCAGAGCCTCTACAGTTAGCTGACTGTCTGGCAAGGCCTGTTGATAAAAAATAATGGGCTTCTCTTTATTTGAGTAGGAAGTAGAGGTCGCTACTGGTATTCCAGTCTTCTGGTCACCTGGGAGAGGAACAGCTGAAACTTTCAGAGTCTCTTCAGTTAGCTGACCATCTGCCAAAGCCTGTGGGTAGAAAATAAAGGGCTTCTCTCTATGAGAGTAGGAAGGAGAGGATACTGTAGGTAACCCAGCCTTCTGGTCAGCTGGTCCAGGAGAAGCTGAAACATTCATAGCCTCTTCAGTGAGATGTCTATCTGGTAAGGCCGGTTGGTAAAAAATAATGGACTCGCCTCCAAGTGAGTAGGAACTTGAAGGTACTGTTGATATCCCAGTCTTCTGATCACCTGTTCCAGGAGCAGCTGAAACTTTCAGAGCCTCTTCAGTTAGATTACTATCTGGCAACTCTTGTTGGTATAAAACACTGGACTTTTCTCTATGTGAGTAGAAACTGGAAGGTTCTGATGATAACCCAGTCTTCTGGTCAGCTGGTCCAGGAACAGCTGAAACTTTCACAGCCTCTTCAGACAAATGACTTTCTGTCAAGGTCTGTGGGTAGAAAATAACAGGCTTTTCTCTTTGTGAGTAGGAAGTAGGAGGTTCTGATGGCAAACCAGTTTTCTGGTCAGCTAGTCCAGAAACAGTTGAAACTTTTAGAGCCTCTTCAAGTAGGTGACTATCCGGCAAGGCCTGTGGTGAGATAATATGCTTCTCTCTATGTGGATAGGAAGTAGATGGTAATGTTGGTATCTCAGTCTTCTGGTCAGCTGGCCCAGAAATGGTAGAAACTTTCAGAGCCTCTTCAGTGAGATGAGTGTCTGGTAAGGCCTGTGGATAAAAAATAATGGGCTTCTCTCTATGTGAGTAGAAACTAGAAGGTTCTGATGGCAATCCAGTCTTCTGGTCAACTAGTCCAGGAACAGCTATAACTTTCAGAGCCTCTTCAGGTAGATGACTGTCTGTCAAGCCCTGTGGGTAGAAAATAAAGGGCTTCTCTCTATGTGAGTAAGTAGAGGTTACTGTTGGAATCCCAGTCTTCTGTTCAGCTGGTCCAGGAACAGTTGAAACTTTCTGAGCCTGTTCCGTTAAAGGACTATCTGCAAACTCCTGTGGGTAGAAAATAAAAGGCTTCTCTCTATGTGAGTAAGTAGAGGTTACTGTTGGAATCCCAGTCTTCTGTTCAGCTGGTCCAGGAATGGTTGAAACTTTCTGAGCCTGTTCAGTTAAAGGACTATCTGCAAACTCCTGTTGGTAGAAAATATTGGGCTTCTCTCTATGTGAGTAGGAGCTAGAAGGTTCTGATGGCAACCCCGTTTTCTGTTCAACTAGTCCAGGAGCAGCTGTAACTTTCAGAGCCTCTTCAGGTAGATGACTGTCTGTCAAGCCCTGTGGGTAGAAAATAAAAGGCTTTTCTCTATGTGAGTAAGTAGAGGTTACTGTTGGAATCCCAGTCTTCTGTTCAGCTGGTCCAGGAACAGTTGAAACTTTCTGAGCCTGTTCAGTTAAAGGACGGTCTGCAAATTCCTGTTGGTAGAAAATATTGGGCTTCTCTCTATGTGAGTAGGAACTAGAAGGTTCTGATGGCAACCCCGTTTTCTGGTCAACTAGTCCAGGAACAGCTATAACTTTCAGAGCCTCTTCAGGTAGATGACTGTCTGTCAAGCCCTGTGGGTAGAAAATAAAGGGCTTCTCTCTATGTGAGTAAGCAGAGGTTACTGTTGGAATCCCAGTCTTCTGTTCTGCTGGTCCAGGAACAGTTGAAACTTTCTGAGCCTGTTCAGTTAAAGGATTATCTGCAAACTCCTGTTGGTAGAAAATATTGGGCTTCTCTCTATGTGAGTTGGAACTAGAGGGTACTGTTAGTATACCAGTCTTCTGGTCACCTGGTCTAGGAACAGATGAAACATTCAGAGACTCTTCAGTCAGATGACTATTTGGTAATGCCTGTTTGTAAAAAACAATGGGCTCCTCTTCAAATGAGTGGGACCCAGAGGATCCCGATGGTATCCCTGTGTTCTGCTCAGCTGGTCCCAGAACAGATGAAACTTTTAGAGCCTGGTCAGTTAGATGACCATCTGGAAACTCTTGCTGGTAAAAAACGATGGGTATCTCTCTCTGTGAGTAGGCACTATAGGGTACTGTTTGTATCCCAGTGTTCTGGTCACCAGGTCCAGGAATAGATGAAATTCTCTGGGCCTGTTCAGTTAGATGACTGTCTGGCAAGTCCTTCTGATAAAAAAAACTGGTCTTTCCTCTCACTGAGTAGGAAGTAGGGGGTGCTACTGGTATCCCAGTCTTCTGCTGAGCTAGTCCAGGGAAAGTTGGAACTTTCTGAACCTCTTTAGTTAAATGACTAATTGGCAACTCCTGTTGGTAGGTATTATTGGGCTTCTCTCCATGTGAAAAAGAAGTAGAGGTTACTGTTGGTATCCTACTCTTTTGGTCAGCAAGTCCAGGAACAGCTGAAACTTTCAGAGCCTGTTCAGTTAGATGACTTTCTGGCAATGCCTGTTGATAAAAAATATGGGGCTTCTCTCCATGTGAGTAAGAAGTTGAGGTTCCTGTTGGTATCCCAGTCTTCTGGTCAATGAACCCAGAAACAGTTGCAGCTTGTTGAGACTGTTCACTTAGATGACTCTCTGGCAACTCTTGCTGGTAGAAAATACTGGGCTTCTCTCTATGTGAGTAAGTAGATGATACTATTGGTATGCCCGTTTTCTGCTCTGTGGATCCAGGAGCAGCAGAAACTTTCACAGCATGTTCAGTTTGAAGACTTTCTGGCAATGTCTGTTGATAGAAAATATGGGGCTTCTCCCTATGTGAGTAAGAAATAGAGGTTCCTGTTGGTGTCCCAGTCTTCTGGTCAGCAAATCCAGAAACAACTGCAGCCTGTTGAGACTGATCAGTTAGATGACTCTCTGACAACTCTTGCTGATAGAAAATACTGGGCTTCTCTCCATGTGAATAAAAAGTTGAGCTTCCTGTTGGTATCCCAGTCTTCTGGTCAGTAAATTCAGAAACAGTTGCAGCTTGTTGAAACTGTTCACTTAGATGATTCTCTGGCAACTCTTGCTGGTAGAAAATACTGGGCTTCTCCCTATGTAAATAAGCAGACGATACTATTGGTATGCCCGTTTTCTGCTCTGTGGATCCAGGAGCAGCAGAAACTTTCACAGCATGTTCAGTTTGAAGACTTTCTGGCAATGTCTGTTGATAGAAAATATGGGGCTTCTCCCTATGTGAGTAAGAAATAGAGGTTCCTGTTGGTGTCCCAGTCTTCTGGTCAGCAAATCCAGAAACAACTGCAGCCTGTTGAGACTGATCAGTTAGATGACTCTCTGACAACTCTTGCTGATAGAAAATACTGGGCTTCTCTCCATGTGAATGAGAAATAGAGGTTCCTGTTGGTATCCCAGTCTTCTGGTAAGCTAATCCAGAAACAGTTGCAGCTTGTTGAAACTGTTCACTTAGATGACTCTCTGGCAACTCCTGCTGGTAGAAAATACTGGGCTTCTCTCCAAGTGAATATGAAGTAGAGGTTCCTGTTGGTATCCCAATCTTCTGGTCAGCAAATCCAGAAACAGTTGCAGCTTGTTGAGACTGTTCACTTAGATGACTCTCTGGCAACTCTTGCTGGTAGAAAATGCTGGGCTTCTCTCTATGTGAGTAACTAGACGATACTATTGGTATGCCCGTTTTCTGCTCTGTGGATCCAGGAGCAGCAGAAACTTTCACAGCATGTTCAGTTTGAAGACTTTCTGGCAATGTCTGTTGATAGAAAATATGGGGCTTCTCCCTATGTGAGTAAGAAATAGAGGTTCCTGTTGGTGTCCCAGTCCTCTGGTCAGCGAATCCAGAAACAACTGCAGCCTGTTGAGACTGTTCAGTTAGATGATTCTCTGGCAACTCTTGCTGATAGAAAATACTGGGCTTCTCTCCATGTGAATAAGAAATAGAGGTTTCTGTTGGTATCCCAGTCTTCTGGTCAGCAAACCCAGAAACAACTGCAGCTTGTTGAGACTGTTCAGTTAGATGATTCTCTGACAACTCTTGCTGGTAGAAAATATTGAGCTTCTCTCCATGTGAATAAGAAATAGAGGTTCCTGTTGGTATCCTGGTCTTCTGGTCAACAAATCCAGAAACAGTTGCAGCTTGTTGAGACTGTTCACTTAGATGACTCTCTGGCAACTCTTGCTGGTAGAAAATACTGGGCTTCTCTCTATATGAGTAAGTAGACGATACTATTGGTATGCCCGTTTTCTGCTCTGTGGATCCAGGAGCAGCAGAAACTTTTACAGCCTGTTCAGTTTGAAGACTTTCTGGCAACGTCTGTTGATAGAAAATATGGGATTTCTCTCCATGTGAGTATAAAGTAGAGGATACTGTTGGTATTGCAGTCGATTGATCAGCTGGTCCAGGAACAAAGGAAACTTTCAGAGTCTGTTCAGTTTTATTACTATGTGGCAATGCCTGTTGATAGAAAATACGGTGCTTCTCTCCAAGTAAGTAAGAACCTGGAGGGACTGTAGATATGTTGGTCTTCTGGTCAGCAGGTCCAAGAACAGCTGAAACTCTTAGAGCCTCTTCAGTTAGATGACTATCTTTCAAGGCCTGTGGGTAGAAAATATTGGGCTTCTCTCTTAGTGAGTAGGAACTAAAGGGTATTGTTGATATCCCAGCGTTCTGGTCAGCTAGTTCAGAAACAGCTGAAACTTTCAGTGTCTCTTTAGCTACATTACCATTTGTAGATATCTGTTGGTTGAGAGTATCAGTATTTAGACCAATAATATTCTCCACAGAAGACCTTACGGCCAACTGAGAAAAGTCATCAGAAGATAAGGGTAAATGAGATCCGATGCCTGAATCTCCAGAAGTGGCAGTGATGTCTGTTTTCAAGTTGGATTGAGTAATTTCACTTGTAACTCCTTTAGGAATATCTCCTTAAAAAAAAAAAATATTTGTTAATATTTGTTTTAATTAAACAATATTTCCTGTGCTGGGTGGCTCAGTTGGTTGGCGCATTGTCCCATACACTGAAAGGTCATGGGTCTAATTCCCAGTCAAGGCACATACCCAGGTTGAGGGTTCAATCAGGAGCCGAGGTGTGTGAGAGGCAACCCGCTGCTGATAGTTCTTTCTCTCTCTCCCTCGCACTTTCTCTCTCTCTAAATTCAATACAAACAAGTCCTCGGGTGAGGATTCTAAAAATAAATTCCTGGGACTTCCGGTCAAGATGGCGGCGTAGGTAAACGCAGTATCGCGACCTCCCACAACCACATCTAAGTTACAACAAAACTACAGAACAACCACCATTCAAAACCGCCTGAAATCGAGCTGAATGGAAGTCCTACAACTACGGAATTAAAGAAGCTGCATCGAGACTGCTAGGAGGGGCAGAGGCGCGATGGGCTGGTCCCACACCCATGTGTGGCGGATAAAAATCAGGAGGACACCTCGGCTGGGAAGGTCCGTCCTGAGGACTGAGGGGTCCCCGTCCCACACCAGGTGCCCTGCTCAGGGATCCAGTGCCAGAAAGAGAATCCCCATAAATTCTGGCTGGAAAAACCAGCAGGAACTGAAGCTCAGGGAGGCTGACGCGGCTGGAGCCCCAGGCAGCTCCTTAAAGGGCCCACGCACGGACTTATCGGACTCTCTCCCTCTAAGCTTGAAGGGGAGGCAGCTCGAGGGGAACCAGAGACATACAGGGAAGAGCTGTTTGGGACTGGAGCGAGGGCTGGAGAGGGGGCTTTCTCCGGGACAAACGTGCTGTCAGAGGCCTTTGTTCCTTTGGTAAGCCCTTCCCTGGGGCGGCAGACAGCAGCCATATCTGGGACTCCAGCAACCTGGCTCACACTGGTAGCCCCGACCTGCTGACTCCCTGAGGCCCTGCCCCGCCCCACCCAACTTTCAGGCCCACCCAAGCTGTTGGCACTTGCTTCACCATAAGATTGGCCTGACTTGGATCCTGCTTCAGGTTTTCCTAAATTTTTTCAAACGAGCAGCATCTGGTCTCAGCTAGCCCCATACCTCTCATTAAGTAATACACAGAAACAAACACAGAGAGGCAGCCAAAATGAGGAGACAAAGAAACAGGTCCCAAATGAAAGAACAGAACAAAACCCCAAGAAAAGAACTAAGCAAAATGGAGATAAGCAACCTAACAGATGCTGAGTTCAAAATACTGCTTATAAGGATGCTCAATGAACTCAGTGAGGGCCTCAAAAGCATAAAAAAGGACCAGTCAGAAATGATGGATGCAAATTTAGAAACGAAGGAGGCTTTAACTGAAATAAAGAATAATTTACAAAGCTTCAATAATAGAGTACGTAAATCCAAGGAGCAAACCATCGATTTGGAAAATAAGGAAGCAAAAAACGCCCAATCAGAACAGCAAAAAGAAAAAGGAATCCAAAAAAATGAGGATAGTGTAAGGAGCCTCTGGGACAACTTCAAGCGTGCCAACATTCGCATCTTGGGAGTGCAGGAAGGATAAGAGAGAGAACAAGAAATCGAAAACCTGTTTGAAACAATAATGGCAGAAAACTTTCCTAACTTGGTGAATGAAAGAGACATACAAGTCCAGGAAGCACAGAGTCCCAAACAAGATGAACCCCAAGAGGCCCACACCAAGACACATCATCATCAAAATGCAAAAGGTTCAAGGCAAAGAGAGAATCTTAAAAGCAGCAAGAGAAAGGCAGCTAGTTACCTACAAGGGAGTTCCCATTAGGCTATCAGCTGATTTCTCAAAAGAAACTTTGCAGGCCAGAAGGGAGTGGCAAGAAATATTCAGAGTGATGGAAAGCAAGAACCTACAACCAAGATTACTCTATCCTGCAAAGCTGTCATTTAGGATCGATGGCCATATAAAGACTTTCCCAGACAAGAAAAAGTTAAAGGAGTTCATCACCACCAAACCGTTATTATATGAAATGATGAAGAGTCTTTTTGAAGAAAAAGATAAAATATATGAACAAACCAAATGGCAATGAATACATATCTATCGACAATGGAATTTACAAACAAAATAAACCGGCAGAACAGAAACATTCTCATAGATACAGAGAACATTTTGTTGGTTGCCAGATGGGAGGGAGGTTGGGGGAATGGGTGAAAAAGGTGAAGGGATTAAGAAGTACAAATTGGTTGCTAAACTGACAAACCTCAAAGGGAAAGGGGGGTGGGGGGAGGTGGGAAGAATTAAACCAAAGAACTTATATGCATAACCAATGGACACAGACAACAGTGTGGGAAAAGGTGGGAGGGAGGCGGGAGTGCGGAGGAGGGAGTCAATAGGGGAAAAATGTGGAACATCTGTAATACATTCTACATTCAACAATAAAGATTAAAAAAGAAAAAAAAGAAACTTAAAAAAAATAAAATAAAATAAAATAAAATTCCTGAGCCCAATCAGAGAATAAGATTCCATTGGCCTAGAGTGTGGCCTAGGCATTAGCATAAAACAAAAAATATATTTATTTTGTGTACTAAAATGAAGCAAGTTTTTCTTCCTTGAAACTTTACACTCTATAAAGGAATCCTATAGAAATGGTCATCAAAAGATATAAATATTTACATTCAGAGATATTTATTACAAAGCCATTAAAAGAAGTAATCTAATGTGTAAGTAATTTAAATACGCAAAAATAGAACTATAGATTAAAAATGGCAGTATAGCCTTTTGATAAAATATTATACAGATGTTCAGGTGATTTTTATTTTTTATTACTTAATTTATTTTTGTTACAGATGATTCACCTTTTTGCCCCACAAATTCCCCCTCTCCCTCCCTCCCCGACTTGTTCCCAGCTTTGTTGTACATGTCCATTATTCATGTATACATGCATATAAGTTCTGTGGTTTATCTCTCTCCCAAAATCCCCTCTCTTCTGGGGATTGTCATTCTGTACCTCACTTCCAAGTCTCTGGGTCTACCCAATTCCTCAAACTGTTATGTTCATTATATTCCACAAATAAGTGAGATCACATGATACTTGTCTTTCTCTATTTAGGTTGTTTCGCTTAGAATAATACTTTCCAGGTCCCTCCATGTCGTCTCAAAGGATAAGAGATCTTTCTTTTTACAGCTGCACAGTATTCCATTGTGTATATGTACCCCAGATTTTTATTCATTCATCTACTGATGGAAATGTGGGCAGTTTCCAAATCTTAGCTATTGTAAATAGTGACAATAAGAACACGGGGGAACATATATTCTTTCTGACTGGTGTTTCAGGCTTCTTGGGTATATTCCTAGAAGTGGAATCACTGGGTCAAATGGAAGTTCAATTTTTAATTTTTTGAGGTAACACCATATTGTTTTCCTTAGTGGCTGCACCAGTCTGCATTCCCACCAGCAGTGTACTAGAGTTTCCTTTTCTCCACAATCTCACCAGCACTTATTTGATGATTTATTGATGGTAGCCATTCAAACAGGTGTGAGGTGATACCTCATTGCTGTTTTAATTTACATCTCTTTAATACTTAGTGATGTTGAGCATTTTTTCATTTCTCTTGGCCATTTGTATGTCCTGTTTGGAGAGATGTCTATTTAGGTTCTCTGTCCATTTTTTAAACTGGGTTCTTTGTTTTCCTTTTGATGAGTTGTATGAGAACTCTATATATTTTGGAAATTAACCCCTTATCTGATATATCATTGGTAATTATGCTCTCCCATACAGTGGGTGGCCTTTCCATTTTGATGATTGTTTCTTTTGGTGGCAGAAGCTTTCGAGTTTAATGTAATCCCATGTGTTCATTTTCTTCTTTGTTTCTGTTGCCTTAGGTGATGTATCAGTGAAAATTCTACTGCATATGATGTTTGAAATTTGGTTGCCTATATTTTATTCAAGGATTTTTATGGATTCAGGAGTCACATTTAAGTCTTTTATCTATTTTGAGTTTATTTTTGTGTATGGTGTAAGTTAATGGTCTAGTTTCATTTTTTTGCATGTAGCTGCCCAATTTTCCCAACACCATTTATTAAAGAAGCTGTCCTTAGTCCACTGTATGTTCTTGCCACCTTTGTCAAATATTAATTGAGCATACTGCCTTGGGTCCATTTCTGGGTTCTCTGTTCTGCTCCACTGATCTATATGCCTGTTCTTATGCCAGTACCAGGCTGTTTTGATTACAGTGGCTTTGTAGTAAAACCTGAAATCTGAAAATGTGATCCCTCCTACTTTGTTCTTCTTTGTTCAAGATTGCTATGGCTATTCGAGGTCTTTATTGGTTCCATATGAACTTTTGAAGTATTTGTCCTAGTTCTGTGAAGTATATCGTTAGTATTTTGATGGGGATTGCATTGAATCCATAAATTGCTTTGGGTAATATGGACATGTTAATGATGTAAATTCTTCCAATCCATGAACAAGGTATGCGCTTCCATTTTTTTATATCTTCCTCTATTTCTTTTTTCAATGACCAGTAGTTTTCTGCGAATAGGTCCTTTATTTCTTTGGTTAAGTTTATTCCTAGGTATCTTAATTTTTTTTGCCGCGATGGTAAATGGGATTGTTTTTTCAGCTTCTCTTTCTGTGAGTTGATCATTGGTGTATAAGAATGCCATTGAGTTCTTGATGTTAATCTTGTATCCTGCTACTTTGACAAATTCATTTATTAAGTCTAGTAAATTTTTGATGGAGTCTTTCGGGTTTTTTGCATATAGTTATCATGTCATCTGTGAATAATGAGTTTCACTCCCTCCTTTCCAATTTGGATCCCTTTTTTTTCTTCCTGTCTGATTGCTGTGGCTAAGACTTTAAGTACTAAGTTAAATAAGAGTGGCAAAAGTGGGCATCCTTGTCTTGTTCCTGTTCTTAAGGAAAATGCTTTTAGTTTTTGCCCATTGAGCATGATGTTGCCTGTAGGTCTTTTATCTGTGGCCTTTATTATGTTGAGATATGATCCCTCTATTCCCACATTGCCGAGCTTTTTAATC